TCCGCACAATTAGCTCATGACATATATAAATACCCATTGACCCCATTATCTGATTGATCACTTTATGTGGGTCAACTGTAAATATAGCAATACACACTGATATAACATATGTGCTCACAAATAGATTTAATTAGATTTAAATCCAACAGTCATTTGATTGTAGAAACTATTGAATCCTTATAATAAAAAAGCTAGAAGTTCTCCAATATTTACTTGGTCAGAATGTAAGTCATGAAGTTGAGCTTTGATTTAGTCTCAGATGGCTGGTATGTTTTTCCCCATTGTTTTTAGTAGATATATGTTGTTTAATTGCTTGTGTAGAAATTTCATGCGAGCAACATCTTTTTCCCCCTGAAAGGAGTAATGTTAGTAATATTAGTCTTAATCTAGCTTTGACTTGAGGATTTTAATCTATAATTGTTGTTTCATGAAGTGATTAGCATCCATCCAATTGCTTGGAACGGCTTATTTGTTTTGTAGAGAAGGTTAATAATACATAATGATTTTTAATTGAAAGTAGTCACAATGAAACATGAGTTTAGGTGAAACTTAACAGTAATATATGTGGAGTTTTTGTGACTACCTATGATGTAGCTATAACTTTAGAGATGATAAGCAAGTGGAAATAGTATGGCATAATATATCTTGACAAATTAGGTGGGAAGTAGGTAGAATAATTGAAGGTGTTATTTTTTTACTATTAATTCAACTAGGTTTCTATGTTGACGCTGAAGTATTAGTATAGTTTATCCTTCTTTTTTTTAAAAAAAAAATTATAATTGTCACTAGAAAAGTATTGATTCTTATGAACAAAAATTCAAACCTCTGAATTTCAAAATACCTTAAAACTTTAGACGGCATATTTACTTGAAAGCTTTAGATAAAACAATACAGGAATCTTATTTAAGTATGTGACCAAGAAATACCATCTTTAACTGAAAAAAGATTATTGGATCATTAGCAAACTTGGTTGAACTCATATACAATTGAATAGTATACCTCCGTGTTGATTTAAAGAAGAGTGATACTCTACTCTCTAATAATATAAGCACTTAAAAGTTCCCCTAGTTTGCACTTATATACACTCACGTTTTTAGCCCCACTTATACACTCAAGTTTTTGAAATTTACACTTTAACATCCTATGATGTACGAACATGAGAACGTCCCTCCTTATTTTCCATGTGACACTCACAAGCTAATTTTAAAATATCCTAACCCTTAATATTTGCTGAATATATTGTTAACTCCACCATAATTCTGTTCTAAAATATAATTGAGATAGTTTAGAATAGAATTATTGTATGTTTAATAGTAAATTCAACAAACATTAGGGTGTATAAGTGTTAGATGAGAAAATTCAGGAAACATTTATTGTATTTTCGTAATAGAGAATATTAGAGTGCAACTTTTAGAAAATTTAAGGTATAAAAGTGAAGTAAAAAAACAAGTGAGGATATAAAAGTGGAAATTAGGGGAAACTATGGGGTATATAAGTGCTGATTAATATAGAATACTTTTGAGTGTATTAGGATAGCATAGTGGGCATTTCTCATCCCAACTTTTTCAGTGTGAATACATAAATAAGAATAATAAGCTATGGAGATTCAAGTATTGAAAAACTCTAAAAATATTTGCACATAAATTTATATAGACTTGGTGCCGCGTATAAATTGTGGATATTTGTTGGCCATGCTCCTGAACCACGTGAGTCGAGCCTGGTCTTTTTATCTGATAAGTCATATTTTGTGAGTCTAAATTGAAGAGTGCAGACTGACTGAGACCAAAAGGATTGAGAAAGGAAATATATCTAGACTTGGTCAAGAAACACTTTGAGCTAAACTTTTTGGTCACGGACTTTGTACTTGCGATTGCAACCCTAAAGTTTAACATTTTGGACCTAATCCATGAAATTTGGGAGTATACCATACATCTACAAGGACCTTCTGATTTCTACTAGCGTGTGTGAACTACAAGCAAGAGATTTAACAATTTATGGTTTTTAAGTTATCAAGGAAAGTTCCTATCGCATTATGTATTGACCTCTTTGTTATCATTTTATTATCTGCACCACTTATTATCAATCATTGTGCGTCGGTTCACTAACCTTTCAAGTTCCAACGTTTTGAAGTAGGGCCAAAATGTTATCTGCACCACTAATATCAATCATTTTATTATCTGCACTCTATAAGAGAGGAGAGTGACAGAGAGAAAAAAAAATTATGCACAGAAATTAATACAAATCAGGAGGTCACATGGCTATTCATTTCTCTCTATCTCTCTCTTCTCTTATAGACTGCCCATGGGCACTCTATAGAAAAACCGTTTTATTTATACTATAGTACATCACATAATAATTTGTGCGTAAAAAAATAATATCTTTAAGATTTTAATAATAAATACTAATATGAATAAATTCTAAAGAAATTATTGTCAAAAGTGATGTAAAGTATCTTATAATTAAGAAATATAGAAAGTGGAAGGCGTTATCAAGTAAAGTTTTATAAATTCACTCTGAAAATTATATATACCAAAAGATCTGTAATTAACTCTTATAATCCTGTAATGTGACCAATTCTCTTCAATGAGCAATAGAACGAGAAACCAATTACCTTAAGGGGCTGTTTGGTTGGTTTCCTACAAATCAAGAAAAGAAAATTTTTATACTTTTTTTTATTAAAATATTATTTTTATACATTTTCATCCCTAAAACTCAAACCAAGAAAAGGAAATCTATACACTTTTATTAATAAAATATTATTTTTATCCACTAACTCATCACATCTCATCTCTTTTCTTACTTTTAAAAATAAACCAAACACAAGAAATGAGTCACATTATCCAACTCATCTCATCTCATCTTTAAAAATCACTCACATCATCCAATAATATAGTGACAACTCATCTCATCTCATTAACATTTCATTTCCACTCATTTTCTCAAAAAAACAAAGGAAATTGATTTCCCTAAGTGTATGTCACATCATCCAATAATATAATGACAACTCATCTCATCTCATCTCATCTATTTTCTTATTTTTAAGAATAAACCAAACACAAGAAAAGAACTTATTATAGGAAATAGAACATACAAGCTCACTTTGATTTCCTATTCTTTTTTTAGCCAACCAAACAACCGTAATACAAGTTTTCCTATTCTTTGATTTCCTATCTTTGATTTCCCAATTTTTTTTAGACAAATTGCCCCTAAAAATAGAACATACAAGCTGGACTGGTTTGGTTACTGTGATATTTTCAGATTCAGGTTATAAACTCCGATAACATCACAAGAGTTTCCCAAATAAGCGCATGCACCGAATTTAGCAAAATCAATCTATGACTTGGATTAGTTTCTAATTATGAAATTTCAAAGCTTAAGAGCTAAGGAAATACCTACTAAAAAAAAACACCACTCCCCCAAGGACGGTGCTTTTGAGTCTTGGAACTGGGAAAAGGCTGTCACCTCTCTTTTGACACTATCGATGCAGCCAATCCTCTCTCGGCCTTGTGCTTAATGCTCACTGTGCTCACATCTTTCTAAAAAAAACAATTTTTCCTTTTTGCTGTTCAAATTTGTTATAAAAAGTTAGGACACAATAACGGAGGAGAGAGAGAGAGAGAGAGAGAGTGGGGGTAGTATCAATGCCATTGGAGACAAGCTATTATAAACTTCATTATGTTAATAAATAGCTCGGTTGGTGTCTCCTTCAATAAAGAAAGAATGTTTTCATTTAATTTATTTTTATATTTTGAGGCAAGTTTGTTTAATCATTTTATGATGCTATTTAGATGAGATGAAAGATATCACTTACACTTTATAAGAAGCTAAACACACCTCAAAATAAATATTTGAAACAGTCAAAATCTTAAGGTGTTAGACATGGGTCCGATTTACAAATTGTAATTTATTATTAATTAATCTTGAATTTGGTTTGAAGTAATAATGATAAGTTATCATGCGCAATAATCTTGAATTTGGTTGTTCCCTCAAGAAGATCATCCGTAGGTTAGCAGGATCTAACGGCCCCATGAACACATTTTGAATTCAGATAACAAATGTTGGCAATAATCCGACTTCTTGGGTAGTTAAAAAATTATGTATTTGTTATAGATTGATTTGAATTTGGTCTAAACTAATAATTCTAAATCATTACGGATGCCGTGATCCATACATAATGTTTATCATCCCTAGGTTACCAACACCCGACCTCTTAGCAAGTTGAATGAATCTAAACAATAAATTGAAATAAACGTAAAATTTGAAACTACATAGTTCACATAAATACAGTTATATATAGTTAAATCCTAAAGTAAATGACAAATCCATATTCTAAAAATAACATGAATTAATACCGAAATAATTTTCGGTTGATCACTACCCGACAAATACTTGGGACGAATTTATGCTCCTATGAACATAGTTCATATAAACTAAATGGCAAATTACGATACAACAAACTAGTCACTTTGGCACTAATGACCATAATAATAATTTAACAAGGCATCTCTTTTTGTAATCTGGGGATTGAAAGTCTCAAAAGTTACACTGAAAAGAAAATAATAAGTTTACTTTATGAATTATATTACTCTTGTATTACTGGATATATAATGAGCTTCATCAATCCATAATTTCTCTTTTCATTACAAGAAAATATCCCTTTTTCTAAGTAGTACACAAGTTATCACTGTTCATACTGAAAAAGAAATTACCAGCACAAAATAAATCCTAGAAAATTACCAACAGCTAATGGATGATTTTCAGAAAAAATAAAATCAACCGTTTTATTCAACTTATATTCTTCGGCTAAAAGAAACGGAAAGAGACCATTTTGCTAAAAAGCCAAAAAAGATTTATTCTTTTTCATGAAAGTTGCATTTTTCTTGTGAATACCAATGAACATTGTTGGATATATCTTTAAGAAATATTAATAAATATAATCAATTTAAGCTAGAAGAACAAATAAAAACAAGTCTAAATAAGGACTACAAAGACAAATTAGCTACACAAAATCCAACTAAAATACACAGAAATTTTTAAGCTTTTTTTTTTCTTTCCATTTCCTCGTTTTCTTTTCCTTGTTTACATGAACCAAAAAAGTCTACACTTGCCCAGAAAATTTCCCAGAGGGGAAAAAATATCATACAAAGCAGGAGAGGATAAAAAAAAAACAAGTAGCAAAATAAAAAACTAACCTTTATTTTTTTAATCTAATTTTCTAATTGTTCATCCCAAATACCCAACTCACAAACCTCCTAACCGAGCTCTTCCCCTCTTCATCCTCCTCCTCATCATCATCCCCATCCCCATCCCCATCATCACCATCATACCCACCATCATCACCACCGCCACCATCATCATTACCAACATGCCCGTACCCGTCATCATGGCCGTCATCATCAACTTTCTCCTCATGGGCACTCATCTCTTTCGCCAAAACCTCATCAAAATCGATCTTTTTGCTCTTCAACCCCCTCTTCTTCTTCCTGTTGGCCTCCTTCGATTCAAGGGTCTCTTCAAAGGCATCGAGGATGAGGTGGATGACGTGGCGGTTGGGCGAGGCATCCCAACGAGCCCAGAAGCTCTTGTAGCATCCAAAGCAGGAGCAACCAAGGTTAGGGGGCATGGGGCGAGGCATCCCAACGAGCCCAGAAGCTCTTGTAGCATCCAAAGCAGGAGCAGCCGAGGTCAGGGGCATGGTTGTAATTAACATCAACCTTGCCCTTATTCTTCTTGCTCTTGCTTTTGGGTTGCTTCTCTTTGAGCTTCTCGGAGTCGAGGAGGTAAGAGAGGACTTCTTGCTCTTGAGGGGAGAGGGTGGAGGCGAGAGCGAGGAGGGCGGTGGGGAGAGAGGAGAGGAGGGGAAGCGCGGGGGGGCAGGGAGCGGGAGGGGTGGACCCTCCTGGCGGCCCTTGCGCAGTGTAGAGCTTCTTCATTGATGGGGGCTTTTTTTTTGGTGAGAGGTGAGTGAGTTTTTGGTGGTGGCGTTGAGGGTCAGGGTTTGGGTGGGTGAAAGGAGGTTGGGAGTTTTTGCATTGGGTTGGTGGAGGAGGGGGGGAGGAGGAGGCGTTTGGTGTTGGGGGTTGATGATGAATAGAAGGGGAATGTGGGGTTAGTAGAAGGTTTTTTTTCTTATTTGTAGGGGTTTAATTTATTAAAACCCCCGATGCTCTTTTGTAGGCTACAAATGGACCCCTGGCAAAGTTTATAGAACTCCCTAAACACCTATGAACTTTGGGGTATCACTCAAAGAGCCCCAAACTTCAAAATTTCCCAAAAAGACTCCCTAAACGGAGTTAGTGGGTCTGGTTAAACTGAATATTTTCGTCTTTTTTTATCAAGATGTTTTCCAATATTAGTTCCCCAAAATTTTCATATTCTGAACTTAGTCTCCCAAATCTTTATATTTGAACGTTTATACCCCCCCCCCCCCAAAAAAAAAAAAAAAAAATTAGGGGCTTTAAAATTAGTCTTTCCGGTTAGCCCTAAGTTGCAAGAGTTGAGTGACTAATTACAAAATGCTTAATAAATTTGGGGGGCTAATTTCAAATTATAAAGACATCCCAAAATCTGTGTGTGTTTAGCGAAATTATAAAGTTTAGAGGGCCTTATTGGAAACCCACTATAGGAAAGGGAGTTTGTGATAATTATCTTGATTACTTTGGCTTTGGGTTCTCCTCTGAGTCCTCTCTATCAAATCGCAGTGAAGAACTTTACTTCAATCATTTATTCTTCAATTATGATTATGATTTATCTCCTTGGATGTAAAAATAGAAGCCAGCGCAATTTGTTGAGATACGACAAAGGGTTATATTTTGGACCAGTCACAATTCTCTTTAACCGGACACTAAATAGCTAAGGGGGTTAGTCACCTAGAACTTTTTAAGTAGAACTTGGAAGGTGAGTTTGGCAACTTTAAAATTCAACTAGTTTTAGACCCGTTGCGATGCACGAATTTTTTAAAGTAGTATTAAAAGTTTGAAATATTTGAATAATTACCAATAAATTACATATAAAACTAAAAATTTAGTACACAAATTTTCTAGTTTTAGATGTGTTCCCTTAAGTAAGAGCTCTTCCCATGAAGAGCAAAAGGAAAAAGCATAGATCTAAATAAAGATAACCTAGAATGTTTTACATGGAATCTAAAGCTGCAAAAAGATAAGCCAAAAATAAGGATTATCTTTTCACTATATAATTACCTATTCCAAAAATATTCAATTTGAAATGATACGTGAGTAGTAGATTTATTTATAGTAATTGAACAATCATATAGCAGGATGACTTGCCTTCTTCTACAATCAAATTAACTTCTTAAAACAAACAATGACAACAAAATATTTATAACTATGAATAAGAAATGCGTTTTATAGTATAATGTACATAACTTTATAAAAATAATAGAATTTTTATGTTAAAAAATAGGGACCTAAAAAAAAGAAAATAGTTTACTTTCTAAGATAGATGGTTTATGGAAAAAGATTATACATTGTACAAGCAATAAGAAAATAATTTGTCCACAAACAATTAGATGAATTGTTATAATGGGCAAAACCTGAATGAATTTCTTATCATGTTTTGTGTGGAATCAACTTTATTTGGCCTAATTTCTAAATTTAAAAAAAGAAAAAAAAAGAACTTCAGGATAACAACTTACCTAATTAAAAAAAATTAGTTTCATCGTACCAACTTCCATAATTAAAAAAAGAGAACTTGAAATTTGAATAACAACACACATTTGTCAGAAGAAGAGAAAATAAAAAGTAAGGCCAATATATCTTAACTTTAATTGACTGTTGTTATAGCTGTTTTTGTAATGAAAAATAATATCCAATCAATGACAGACAAGTGTCACACATTATATATAATCAATTTAGAATCTCAAGATAATCATAGGCCCAACCAGGTCGACTCAACACACCGACATCTTGCGGAGGACGACTCAAAAGGCGTCACATATCAACGATCCGAGAGGTGATCATGTTGTCCCCTGGTTGAGTTGACAACCCAACCACCTCACTTGACTAACTAATAGGCCGACACCTTGTGAGGGCGAATCGAAAGGTGGTACTTCTCGACCATCCAACGAATAGAAAAGTCACCTCGAGCCTTGAGCCCCTCCTGTACATTGGTGACCAATCACATCGCAATAAATGTCATTAAATATATTATGAGCGCCATCATTCCTCTGCCCCTAATAATATTTATGACATATTAGACCACGTTGGCACTGCATACCCCCAATCACTTCACATTAAACACCGACGTGACATCTTCCCCACTCGTTGGCCGACACCTGTAAAGCGAAGGCTGACTTGACCGCCACCTTAAACCTCGTTGAAGTTACCATTCTACCCTTCTATCCCTAATATATATAGAGATACTATTTCCAATAAAGGTAAGTTTTTCCACTATTCTCGGAACTTAAGAACTACTGTAGTTCCATATACTTCTCCACACAAGCAGCTCACTGACTTGATCGTCAGATGAACAATCGAGGAATCACACACTATCCTCTTACGATTTGTTACTTGTGAAGAGAACAACAGTTTGCTTAAGGACCAGACATTCGGAGAGTTAGAGGATCTCCGTCAACTTATTCTACTTTCATTTGACTGTGTGTTTCGTACATCAACAACTGTTACATAGTAAATAATCAAAACTATGTTAAGACAGAAAAACTATATTCACACATAACCTTGTGAGTAGGGGTGGAAATGAACCAAATAACTAATAAATAGTTTGATAATTATTCGAGTAACTATTCGGACATATTCGCTTCGGTAGTTTATATACCATTAAGGGAAAAATGTGTCCGGGCCCCAAAAGAAGAAACTTCATGTGCTGCAGCCCCTCCTAGTTTTCCACATGTGGTTCAGCCCCTTAAAACGTACTATTTTGTACTACAGCCCCTTTTTAGCAATTATTACATGTCAGCTAAGCTAAAATCCCCAAAATATTATTTATCCCCTCTTCTCAATCCCTCAAACACAACGCTCTCATCTCCCCTTCTCTCTCCTCTCTCTCTCTCTCTCTCATCTCCTCTCTCTCTCTCTCTCTCTCTCTCTCTCAAGCCCGCTCTCTATCTACCCGCGGACATGTTATGTGCCCTTCACCACGGAGCTCAGCTCCAGATCTGTGCCTAAGGCCGACGAGGTTGAGACCCTCAAGTTCCCCGAGCCGCCCTCCCCTCCTCTCTTACCCTACCTCATCGCCGCTTGCTCGTCGCTGGCCTCCTCGCCTCGCCCTCGACTATGCGCGGAGTTCGCCGCTGCGTCACTAACCGCCTCGCCCACGAGTTCGGCGTCCACGTTGTCGGTATGCAATCAACCCGGATGCTTTCCAAGAAGAAGCTACAAGTCTTCAACAACTTAGACTAACAAATATTGCATCTCATGTCGATCATGCCTAGCATCAACTTTCATGATAACAAATGATTTTTTGGCTTTTTCAATATTCAGGAGAACAAAGTGACGTTGATTATGATGGTAATCAATCAAAACTTTATTTAAGCTTGCATCTAAACCTTTTTTAGACTGTAGGCGTCAAAAATGCTTATAGACATTCAAACACCATGCAAGACAACATAGAAGAACGAAATACA